CCTTGCCAAGAGGCAGTGTGGTACAGTGGCAAGTGGCTGGGCTCTGGCACCAGAGAGACTTGGGTTTGGATGTGCATCAGTTGCTGTCTAGCTGTGTGAGCTTTAAAAAGTCACTTTCCCTCTCTGAGCCTCTCTCCTCATCTGTGAAATGAAAGCTGCTGGAAAGATGAAATGGGGTGGCAGGAACTTGGCAGAAGCCAGTTGCTTTCTTGAGATCCTGGTGCTGGGCTAGAAGCTTCATAAGAGCAGGGGGCTTGGGGACTGCATCTCAAGATTGGTCCCTCATTCTTCATATTGCTACTTGGCATTTAAGAGACTCCATCCTCTGAGCCATCTGGGAAGGAGCTGCACCTGCTGCTTGGTCCACGGTCTTCATGAGGCAGGAGACCAGATGAAGCTTCCTTCCAAACCACAGAGGATGTGGAAGGCCTCGCCTCTGCCCAGGGTTACCTTTGGGGAAGTGGCCCTCACTGTGGTCATCTGGGCGGTCTGTGGGCTGGGCTGCAGTCATCTGTGGGCTAGGACCCATGGAGAAGACTCCCTTCGGGGGCTGTTGCTCCCTTGGGGGCCCACAGGAAGGACATAATATGCCTGGTCCTGCAACCAGGTAGGGTAGGGAGAACCCAGAGAAAGAAAACCAGGCACGGCTTTCTTGACATAAGAGAAGCCGTCTTTTGTGATCTAAGCCTGGCCACAATCCTTGACCTAGAACAGGTCTCAGTAATTAATGATCTTAAAGGAACAAAAGAATAGACAACTGTTATCAGGCAAGAGAAGTAACAATAGCAAAGATAGCAGTTGTAAAGACTCCCAGTTCTGTTTCAGTGGTGAAGATTAGCCTGAAATGCTCAACTGGAACCTGAGGGATGATGATGACCTTTTCTGACCCTCGTGACTTCAATCAACTGAAGCTTGGACTCTGTCGAGCACCCAAGCCCCTTCACGAATAGTTATGTACCCTTAGCTTAAAACTTCTCCAGTTTTGCTGTTGGGGAGACACTGCTTTGGGAGAGATCCCGGGGTTCTCCTTACTCGCTGCAAAGAATAAATCCTTCCATCTCCTGACCTTTGCCTTGGTTGTGTCTTTTGGCTCGACACCTACCAAGAGGTAAACCCAGTTTTTGGGTAACAGTCCGAGTGGCAAAAAGCTGGAGAATTCACTAATTTGTACTGGTTTATTCTAGAGCATTGCCAAACTTCTCCGTTTCTCTAGTTTCACTAGATTTTTGCAACAGAAGGGATTTTCTCACCTAGTGACAAACCCCATGACAAGATTATGGCTGTCTAGACACATAAGGTGCAGTTTCAGCAGTCTGTCTTGTATATAGTTTCCCGGGCAAGGAGGAGGCTGGGAGAGAGTTTGAGTGTTGGGAGTCAGCGGCACACCCTCTGGCACCCAGCAGTCAGTGTGATGTGGGAGACGAGAAATGAGCATTTTTAGTCTTGCACAGATAATCCATCCTCTGAACAGGAGGTCTCTAACTCTAGCCAGCCGTGTCGGAAATACACCAGTTTTCAAGTCCAGAGAGCTGTGAATTAATCACCTTTTTTTTTTTCCTGGCTGTGCTGCGTGGCTTGTGGGATCTTAGTTCCCTGACCAGGGATTGAACCTGGGCCCTCAGCAGTGAAAGCGCGCAGTCTTAACCACTGGACCGCCAGCGAATTCCCAGGGAATTAATCACCTTTGTAGTAGGATTCAGCCTTCCACACAGTAGGTATTTGAGACAAATCAGTTAACTTGAGTTTATGGAGCATTTGCTCAACTGCAAGCTAGATGCTTTTCACATTTATTATTTTTTAAACTCATACATGTTAAGAATTTATTTTTAAAGTTCTTTTTTTTCAGCTTAAGTATAATTGACAACATCGTAAGATATTTAAAGGGTATGATGTGGACTTCCCTGGTGGCGAAGTGGTTAAGAATCCGCCTGCCAATGCAGGGGACACAGGTTCGAGCCCTGGTCCAGAAGATCCCACATGCCGCAGAGCAACTAAGCCCATGTGCCACAACTACTGAGCCTGTGCTCTAGAGCCGGTGAGCCACAACTACTGAAGTCTGCATGCCTAGAGCCCGTGCTCCACAACAAGAGAAGCCACCGCAATGAGAAGCCCCCACTCGCCGCAACTAAAGAAAGCCCGCACACAGCAATGAAGACCCAACGCAGCCAAAAAAAAAAAAAAGTGTCTGATGTGATGATCTGATATATCTATATACATTGTGAAGGGATTTTTCCTCATCAATTAACACATCCACACCTCACATATTTACTTTTTTTTTCTTTTTGGCGAGAACTCACATTTATTCTTATGTAGACTTTACCCACAATTCTGAGAGGTAAATGCTCTTAATTCCCATTTTACAGATACGAAAATAGAGGCTCAGAGGTTCAACAACTTGCACAAAGACCGGGTAAGAAGGGATGGCTGGCTTCAGCCCTAGAGAAACTTGAAGCATTCCACAGGATGATTTTTGTGAATGAAAGCACATTGTCTGGACACTATCAGAGAACAGAAGTAGCATAAAGGACAAAACACTGTCTTTCTCTGCTCAAGCCTGCAGTTTTATTAGTAAAGTCTTTGTGACTTGAAATAGAACATTTGCCTGCAATCCAATAAAAGATTAAATAAGCAGTAAGTTAAACTATCAGTTGATAACATATTCTAATTTAGCTCGAGTTTAAATGGAGTGAGTGACCTACAGTTGCAAACTTGACGTCTGATGAAGCTGATTTGAAGTGGCAACTCCCCAGCCTCTCCTCAGAAGCTGGCTGGTGCAGAACTCATCTTTACAGGCCATTAAATTAGTCATGAGAAAAAAACCCATCTTTCTCCATACAGGTCTAGTGATTAGAAGCAAAGTCAAATTACCCATGAATCCAAGGAATGCGACCTTCCGTGGGGCTGTCTGAAACCAATTAGGTGTGAACAGACCTGGAAGGCAGATTTCGCCCTACTGCCCTCCCAGCCCGGGCATGGAGGGCTCCCTGAGGGTTTTCCAGTTCTCACTTCCGAATCTGGAGCTTTAACATCTGAGGACTGTGTACTGTGTGGTCTTACTGAGGTGGCCAAGAATTTTTAGATGCTAACATAAGGGCAAAGACTGTGTTCTCTAAATTTCTAATAATTTAATGTTTGTTCCTTTTTTCTTGGTGAACTTGGCTCCTAGGTGGGAGGGGACAAATCTTGTTCATCTTTACCTTCAGCACCTCACCTCTCACAATGCCAGACACTAGTGCTTTTGAACCATCCCCCCTTTTTTTTTTTTTTTTTGCGGTATGTGGGCCTCTCACTGCTGTGGCCTCTCCCGTTGCAGAGCACAGGCTCCGGACGCGCAGGCTCAGCAGCCATGGCTCACGGGCCCAGCCGCTCCATGGCATGTGGGATCTTCCCGGACAGGGGCACGAACCCGTGTCCCCTGCATCGGCAGGCGGACTCCCAACCACTGCTCCACCAGGGAAGCCTGAACCATCCCCTTTTAAAGCCAGAAATGCTCATTAAGATTCATTCTTGGTGAGTCAGACGTTTTTCTTAGCCTCCTGATAAAAGAAGCCTTTGTTTCCAGGATGATCTCAATGCTACAACTTAAAAACAGCCTTGGAGTATTCCTAAGAGTGAAAATAGGGTCCACCCGAATGTGCGTTAGCAGGGGAAATGGGTAAATAAGTAATGATGCATCTACGCCACAGAGCAAGAAACCAGTGGTTAAAAAAGCTAAGGTTGAAAATAAATTTCACACACACACAGGTAGATCTTTAGCACCAGAGGCCCTTGTATATCGTGGGGTAAACGTAGAAAGCTGCTGTTATTCACAACAGCTAAAACATGGAAGCAACCGAAATGTCCATTCATGGATCAATGGAGAAACAAAATATGACACATACGTACAATGGAATATTATTCAGCCTTAAAAAGGAAGGGAATTCTGACACGTGCTGCAACAGGGATGAACCTTGAGAACTTTATGCCTAGTGAAATGTGTTACAAAAAAGACAAATACTATATAATTCCACTTATATGAGATAGAGTAGTCAAAGTCACAGAAATAGAAAGTGGAAGTATGGTGGCTAGAGGCTAGAGGAGGAGAAATGGGGAGTTAGTGTTTAATGGGCAGAGTTTGAGTTTTGCAAGATGATAACAGCTCTGGAGATAGACTGGAGTGAGGGTTGTACGATAACGTGAATGTACTTAATACCACTGAATTCTCCATTGAAAAATGGCTGAGGTGGTAAATTCTGTATGTATTTAACCACAATGAAAAAAAAAGACAAAATAGAAAGTTGCTAATATCAATATTTTGTACCTTATTTCTGAAGGGAAAAAAAACTTCACATATGCTGCGCATTGTAATGACATAAAGGTCTGGAGGAAATGTGTGAACTGTCAACAGGGGATGTGAAACTTGAGGAGTTTCCATTTTTAACTTGACAAACTTTTACACTGTTTGCTTTTTCAGTGTTACCGCTTTTGTAGTAAGCGTCAGAGCCAAGGCAGCAGTGGTGGGAATTCATGCTTCCCGTGCGAGGTCTCTGGAGGTCATCTGTGGAACTAACTGGAGTTTATAGCTGTGCTGGAAGTATCTGTAACCTGGCCTCAATGAGACAGAAAAGAACTTACCAAGATTTGGTTTGAAGAATTCTAATACTGAAAGCTGTAGAAACTGGGGTGCCGTATAATGACGAGCCACTGTTTACTGAGCACCCAGAGTAAATGCAGGCATCCTCACACCAGGTGGCTGAGGGTGGCACGGCTAGGAATCCCATTTTACAGATGGGCAAATGGAGTAGCAAAGAGAAGGGACTTGCCCAGTGTCATCAGCTGGTGAATGGCAAAGCTGGGAACAAGCCCCAGGTCCTGCATGACACCAATTCTATGCTTGTCCCCATCGTAGCCACCCCCAATGGTGGCTCAGTTCTGGAGGCCTGGCCCCCTCTTCAAGGACAAGGACTCCTCCTTCTGGCACCTTCACATCCCACTGCAGCAAGTACAAGGAACAGGCTTGCTTTTTTGTTAATAAAGTAGAATAACATTTATTTATTAAAATTTTTATTATATATGCTGTATTTGTGGGAAATCGAGACCTTTGAAGGAACTCAGATTAGATACAAATTACGTTCAGCTGAGCTGGTTACAGTCATGTTTAGCACGGGAACACTTAAGCTGAAGCTTTCTTTTCCTTATAGGTTGCCATCATTTTCTTGATTTCAGCAATAGCTTTCCCTGGATTCAGCCCCTTGAAAAAAGAGAAGAGAAGCAATACCAAATGGTAAGTGAAACTGAACGGAAGAACCCCATGACCTTGGGCGACCCAGGACCTCCTGACCTAGCTGGTCAAAGCACGGTGATTACAAACCAAGTCCTTTAATACCCAGGGGTTTGGACTAAGAGCTCTCTTCTGTTTCCACTCTTAGACGTTTGAAAACGGCCAGCTCTCTCTGGCAGGAGCCCTGTCTCACTGAATTCCTGCTGGTGAGGCTCAGTGTGGCAGGTCAACGAGCCCAAGGAAGAGTCATCTCTTCTATGACTACAGTGTCAAAATTAGCCAGTTATCTCTAAAGGTTTCACATCATTACCATTATCATTCAATCATCATCACCAGAAATCTGCATCTGCAAGCCCTCAAGGTATGTGGGAGAAAGGAGCCTCTGTTAACCTTCCTAAGCACCACTGGTTAAGTGGCCCACAACACTGGATTAGCTGCAGTTGGCCTCACAGCTGTAACATCTGTCCTGCACGAGGTATGGCAATTAAACCCAGCGGGGCCAGTCTCCTGGAAGCAGGAAGTGAGATCACCAAATATTTGGTAAGATCAGACAAGCACTCATCTGAGGCTAGTGAAGCGTCCCCTTGTTCAATTAAATTAAATTGTTTATTTTATGTGGCTCTGCGCTGAGCGGCATGCAGAATCTTAGTTCCCATGCCCCCCTGCAGTGGAAGCGTGGAGTCTTAACCACTGGACCTCCAGGGAAGTCCTGGGTCCCCTCATTTTAGAAGGACAACTTTAACTCTGAAATTAAAGTGTGCAAAGAAAGAAAAAGAAAAAAGATCTTCGGAGAGACAGAAAGGGAAAGAGAAGACACTCTTTAAAAGACGGATATGGAAGGATCCCCGAAATGTGTTAAGTGAGAAAAGGTAGACACTGTGACAAAGGACACGTGGAACATTTGCGTGTAGCACAAACTATCCCTGGAAGGACACACAGGAAGCTGATACCACCACCAGGGAGGGGGCTGGGGAAGGAGGAAGGCCCTCCACAGCACTTCCTTTTGAACGCTGAGCCTGCCCCATTAAAAGGAATTTAGAGTCAGTAAACAGACTGTACCCAGTCCCGGCGTAGGAAGAAGGCACTGGGAGGCGGGTGGCCTGCTTCTAGGCCTGCCCTGCCCCCAACCTGAGAGTGACCTTGGCAAGATGCCTCCACCCCCAACTCCCGCTCATGGGCTCAGCTTCCGAACCTGTAAAGGGGCTGCACTTGACGATTTTTGAGGTCCCTTCTAGTTCAAACAATCTGGGCCTATGTCTAGCCTCACAGCCCCAGTGTCCACCCCTGCTTTACTGAAGGGGAGGGCAGGACACAGAGAAGTCTGTCCTTGGTTGTCTGGTCTGTCTGCTGCCCTCTGCGATGCAAACATTCACGCCTAGGAGCGCACCGCAGGATCCTCCGCGGAGATTTTGAAGAAATACACAAGCCAGGCCCCAGCCTTGGAGAGGCTGTCTTCTGACTGACCAGCTCAAACGAACAGAAGGTCCCATTAAGTGCTTACTATGTGCCAGGCACTGTCCTAGGCGCTTCAGTGGCATGACTTGCCTCAGAAGCCACAAGGCTCGCTGAGCAGAGCCTGGGTAGAAACGCAGGCAGCAGGATGCGGAGCCTGAGCTCTCCCGCACTGCTCGGGACCCCACCAGGCCCCAGGCCCACCCCAATGCCGATGGCACATGAGAAGCATCTGGCAGGGGAAGGGGGGCCCTTGAAACACTGTGGAATTACCCAGTCTGGATTTCATGTTTGTTAAGATGCGCTGCCTTTTCTTTCTTTCTTTTTTAAGCTGCTAACTGGTCGTGCTAGAGTTTTCCATCTCGCTGCCTGCTTACTCACTGCACCTTTAAAATGAAATTGCTCTGCCCACAGTCTCTGCTCCAAGGGCAGCCCTGGCTGTTCCCCGCCCACTGACCGGCCCAGGGCTGGCACCTGACGGTAGCTGGCCGGCCAGCTCTGACCGTGCGTGGGCTGCGCCGTGGAAAGCTAAGCTGGGCCAAGGAGACTCCCTCCGAGGAATGTGAGCTGAGAAATGCTGAGAGAAGCCAGGCAGATGCTGAAGCCGTAGGCAGGGTGAATATGAACAGGAAGCAGGAAGTATGAACAGGAAGAGGGAGTGAAAGCTAAGCAAGCAGGAGCCCCAAGACTGAGGAAAGACATGCAGAGGAGAAAGCACAGGCTGGCTGCCAGGGAGCCGCGCGGACCGGCAGCCATGTTGCCACACAGAGACCTTGGGGCCCGGAGAGGGAATGTAGCCCTCACAGCTGCCTGTGCTCAGACGGCTTTCCTCCCGTGGTTCCCACAAAGTCAGGGCAAACCCAGGTTCCTGTTCACGGGTCCTCGTGGCATCCTTGACTCCCACCAGGCCCGTGTGAACCCGACTTGAAAACCCTTCTCAAGGGGGCCTGAGTGAGCCTGTGCCCCGCAACTAAGCGCCAACACCCCCAGGCTCACACGGAGGGGAGAGTGCTCTCTGCTCCCCGCCGAGCACACGTCAGTGCTGGGCCGCGCGGGGGGCCGCAGCCGCGTACCTTGGGACAGGAATTCGTGCAGTTCATGATGGTGTGGCAGCGGTACAGAGAGAACGGGTCCTGCAGCTTGGCCAGGCGCTCCTCTGTGAAGTCGTCTCTGGAGTCGATCATCCAGCGATAGGCCTGGGGGAACCGGGGACTGGTGGGCTGAGCTGTCACCTTAACTGGCCAGAGCAGCCCTCTGGTTCAACTCAAAGCTCCAGGCGTGCAGAGGAACAGGAATTCTCAGCTTGGAAGCCATCTCCACACTTTACTTCTTGCCATCTTTCAAGGAAAGGCTCCCAACCCTTTGTAACATCTCTTGATCACCTTGACTAATGAGCCCCACCAACCTTTGAACCACATGCCCCTGGTCGCTGGTGCTTAATAATATACCATCAAGCATCACCTTCTACTGATTTCGTGTTGCTCATTAGCTTCCTCCCTAGAACATGAATGAGCGAAGGCAGGGATGGTGTCTTCGACTCTCTTTAATTGCCTTCAGAGCACCTACCCACTGCCTTTGGGTGAACTGGTAACAGACCTGCACAGAGAGAACATCTGTTCTACTTATTGCTTCTTTTGATTAGCATACCCATCCCAGAAGCCTGAGATCAGCCAGCTGAAAACTGATTAAGCTCCTGGTCACCGGGCCGGCTCCAGCAGTGTTACGGACACCACTTTTACATTTCCCAACAACTCAGATCACTGGTCCAAGCGCCAGCTACAAATGTACCTCATTACTCAATCTTTAATTTGGCCAGGAATCAATCGGTACTGCTAACTGGTCACACAACCACAGAACTTCTCTTTTTGTGGGAAAATGAGAAACAAGAAGTTTCTTTGAGTTGCTTCAGAGTCTGTGAAGAGCACTGGCCACAAATCTAAAAAGTATGAGCTTTCTGGGAACAAAGACAGTGACTCTGTCTGCAGTGAACTACACATATAGTGAAAGACGACGAAAAACAACACTACTTTCTTTCCAAGCAACCCCTAAGCCCAGTACTGCAGGCTTTCACTAGCCTGGAAACAATTTCCAACCTTGCAGCTGGGTAACTGCTCCTCAACGAAATTTCTCTCTCCCCTGCTTCCACGTTAAAAATCCCGTGAGAGGGAGATGGGGAGCCTTCTGACAGATGCAGTCCGGGGAAAGCGGGCAGGTGGACAGGGAAGAGCCAGCAGCACAGGAAACATCTGAAACATCTGCAAGGCCTGGTGTGCCAACCCACAGCCACCGCCCCTTGGCGTGACCCTCACCACACTCACTGAAGGCATTTTGCAGATGAAGCCCCAGATTTACTGAAAGCCAAGTGAAGGTGATGCAGCCAATTACCGTTTGTAATGGATGCCAAAGAAGGAAGCCATCGCCCCTCAGAACATCGGTTTCCACTTCTCTTACAGTAATGAAGGAGCGCCTTACCTGCATAAGAACCGCGGGTCCCAAGTACTTGTCTCCATTCCACCAGTAGCTCGGGCAGCTGGTGCTGCAGCAGGCGCAGAGAATGCACTCATAGAGCCCGTCCTGTGCGGGGAGAAAGGGCAGTCAGGAGCCCACCATGGAAGAGGTGGTCGTGTTCTGAGCCGATTAAATGCGAGGTCTGGGGTCAGTGCACGGACAAAGTGCCTACTCGCACGTGAGTTTTCTTGGCAAAATCCTAGGAGTGGTTTGCAGAGATTTATCAGATTCATAAAAAAGATCTTGGAATTGAAATTTAGACATTTGCTGGATTAGAGCCCAGAGTTCTTAAGTCCAAGTACAGTGTATTCATCCTTTAATAAATACCCCTCACTTATCTTAAAAACAAAACAAAAACAAAAACATGAAAAGAACCTACCACCTCGAATGCAGTCTAGCAGAAATTAAAAAGGCCCTGAGTGCTGAGGCATCTGGAGTCTACACCAGCCTCTGCCCTGGCTCAGCAGACACCTCAAGTTTTCGATAGGAACATCAACATTATCCTAAACAGCCAACCAGCACTGAGCACCACGTGCCTTACTGACTACCTCATTTGACTGTCACAATAATCCTGGGGTGAGTGCTATGAGATTCCCATTTTACAGGTAAGGAACTGAGGCTCAGAGAAGTTAGGTCACTTGCCGAGGGTCACACAGCTGCAAACAGCAGAGCTGGGATGGGCCCCCAGGCGGCCTGACTCTGAAATCCGTCCTCTAACACTGCCACACTGACTCAACACGCCCAACCAGTTCTAACTGGACTTTCTGATTTGGGGAACAACAGAAACTGATTAAAAGTGGCAAAACAGGAGGGCACACTGACATCTGAAGTGACAGCTGAAAACAGATGACACACAGAGTTGATGGTCATGATTGTAACCAAGAGTCTTCAACAAAATTTATGTTCTGTTCAGGCAGCTGGTGAGAGTGTAAACTGGCTCCACTGTCTAGAAAGCATAAGGTCACAGGATTAAGAGCCTTCACGATAGTCATATTCTTTACTTATAAAAGGGTAGTTGTCGATAGAGATTACCTTTGGGTGGTGGAATTATCGATTTGAAAATTAGTTTTCTTTTCCAATTACCTATAATGAGCATTATGGCTTTTAAAATCATGAAAAAAAGTGAGGTTCAGCAATATTGATTTGAAGAAGTGAAAAATGCTAAAGAAGCACGTCTGGTATTTAAATGAGTGAATTTTGACTACCTAGAAAACACGCTCAGGGGAGCCCTCCAATCCCTAAAAATAGTACATCAAGGAGATGTTTATAAGCTACAAGCTTTCCTACCTGAGGACTGTGAAATGACAAGCTGGGCCAGGGTGGCCAGTTCCAACCCTGGACCCTGGGATGCGTCAGACTCCCTGGAGTTAGAAACTGGGGCAGAGCTATGTCCTGAGAACAAGAAACTCTTGGAAGAGAAGGCAGCTGCTTGCTCTGAATTACAACATCACCACGCTGACCCTCAACATCTCGATGACGACAGAGCTGGGCATTCTTACCAGGACCTTCCTTTCTTAATATTTTATGGGGAAGAGGAGAGGGGCTACATGTTCCCCCAGACCTAAAAGGCAGAATTAATTTATTCATTCACACAACTCATATTTGTTGATAAGACAGCACATGCCAGGATCCTGGGATCCAGAAAGGGGTATAAGACATAGCCCCTGCCCTTGAGGCGCGCTCAGTCTGCTAACGGACTGTCATGTAAACGAATGAAGTGGTGACCCTGAGACAGCACGAGTCCTTGCCTCGTGTAGGCATGATGTTGGGACCTATCTCCATCTGGTCCCCTTCCCACTTCTTCCTCTCCAAAGGACACCAAGTGTGCAGGCAGTGAGTGTGCGTGCCTCCTTCTTAGAGGAGGTAGAAGTGTACACGAGAAAGAGACTACAAGCTCGCTAATAACCCCTTCACTTGCAGAGACTTCATAGCCTGTACCCAGGGGTAGCAACTCCAAGAGTGAGTGGGCCTGTCACAAGCCCACACCGCGTCACTAGATGTGTGGTGTCAGGAAAGCACCAAGTTCTAGTTCCAATTTTGCTATCGGCTTCTCTCACTCCCATCTTCAAACAGGGTGGTAGCAGCAGGACCGCAAACAGCCGGCATGTGTTTTATTTGCCCACAGGGTTAAAGAGTAACTCTGATTTAGCTGTCCACTTTTCAAGACCTGGCGATCGACATCCTGGTTTCTTTTGAAAAAGACAAATGTCTGGCAACACGGTAGCAGTGAGCCCCTCTAGGCAGAGCACTCCAGGGCCTTGGTCCTCTCTGCCCCCTTCATAGGTTCTCACTACCCACCTGGCCCCGATAGGATGGGTGTCCAACCCTTGGACAGATGGTTCTCAAGTTCCTTTCCAGAAGACGCTGAATGTTCTGCATGATCCCATCCTGTGCCCCCCTCTGCCCCTAAGCCCCACTTCCTGACAAACATCTTTGCAACAAAATTCCTCAAGTCAAGACAATGAACAGGGACTAATGACCAGCTTCTCACGATCTTCTATGGACTGCAGATACTGCTCCTTGCCTTCCTGGGATTCATCCTTCTTCTTTAAATAAGGCTCAATGGACTTGTACTGGGCATAGAAGTTGCTCAAATCCTGAGGTTAAGAGGAAGAAGAAAAAATGGGTCAGATTCCACCACCACTCCTTAGCTTTCCTACTTATCCCATTTTTGGGACACCGCCCACTTTCCTGCCCTGTGACAGGCAGTAGTCAGACTCTCCTCCTTTGGCATTGATACAGGCAAAGGTCACGAAAGGAGAAGTGGTCACATGTAAGCGTGGTTAGGGAATTTCTCCTTCACCCACTTGGGAAACTTTCCAATCCCACAGTCCTTTCTCCTCAGATGCCCTTGAGAACACCCAGTCAGGGAAAGGGAAGGTGGTCAAATATAGGGAGGTAGACATGAAAACACATAAGAATGGCTGCATTCCCAACTGGTATTTGCCACATGAACTCTTTGTTGTTATGGCCAAATTCTTCATTTCTGAAACTGTTCCAGGTCTAAAATTCTGTGCCCTGTTATTCCCAAACAATCCTCACCAAATGAGCTGCTGGATGACCTTCTAGGCCATTTATCTTCTGCCATTCAAATTCCTTAACTAAACTCAAGACAGGAAAAAACCCTGCCCTGAAGAACTATAGCACAACACACATACCTCCTGCCCCCCTTAAAAAAAAAAAAAGCGGGTGGGAGGTGCTGGGGTGGTGGGGAGACACACACACACACACACACACGGGCAGGAACTCACAGGAACAAGATCCTTTATCACATACATATGTGGAAGAGGGTAGATTTTGGATACTTTGTTGAGGTTGATGTCAATCCTTCGGGTACAAGCGAGAGTGTTGCCTCCATTGATGTTCATGGCACAGGAGCCGCAGATGCCTGAGACACAGCACAGTTAACACTCCCCTACCCAGCTGTAGGCAGTCCAGCTACAATTCTCCCTTCCCGACTGTCCTTACTCTACCAGCAGGAGTAGCACTGACATGGAATACACCTGTGCAGAGGTGCCCGCTGCCTTTTCTCCTTCCCATTCTTCCTAGAATGTAGATCTAACGGCTGTAGTTCCAAAAACCATGTTGTGAAACCAGGAGGCAACCCTGAGGTTGGAAGCTATCTGCTCAGGATGGCACTGGAACACAGACGAGCCTGGGGTGCTGCTGGCATCACGGAGGGCCCACACCAGTCCTAGTTCCTTGCTTCATGTATTTTGAGAGAAAAACCAGTTTTTTTTTTTTTTTTTTAAAGTCACTGTTATTTGAACTCAAACTCTATTTTTCTTAAGCTTTTTTTTTTTTTTGGCCGCACCACAAGGCTAGTGGCATCTTAGTTCCCTGACCAGGGATTGAATCCAGGCCCACGGCAGTGAAAGCACAGAGTCCTAACCACTGGACCGCCAGGGAATTCCCTGGACTCAAACTCTTAACAGATATAACACCCCAAAATAAATCAACACTGTCTTGGTCATCTTAAAGTTGAGGCCTGGATACAGACTGTCCAGAGACAGATCTCATTCTATTGTCTCCACAAAGCCTACACCGGGGACATGAAACCCACAAAAGCTGCCTTAGCACTGACTTTTCAAGGAGGATGAGCTAATGTGAAACCAAACCAAAGTAAGCAAAATAAGGTGCTGACCAAGGACCCTGAAACGAGAATTTTCTTAGCCTGGACTCACTTCCTGTGTATGGAATTTCCTAGGTATTTCAGAGTTACAAATGACTACGCGCTCTAAGCCCCTGCTACCACTTCTTTTGAAGCTGTTTTTTGAAAGTAGTTAGGCCGGAGAAATGTGGTTACTTGTGAAACTTGGACTGGGTTATCAACTTTCTCTCCCCCTCCCGTTAATCTTAATAAAAGTATAATAGGACACAAGTATCCACTTAAGCAAATACTCCTACAGTTCCCCAAGAGGTCGAATATTATCAGCACATTTCTGTGAGCCTGGCATCCAGCAGAGCAGTGTGCTTTGATAAGAAATGGTATAAATACAATAATAATAAAAATCCAAGGAGACTTCTCTTAAAAAGGCTCCCCTGGAAATTCTCTTCACAAACTACAAGGGAAACAGAAGTAGCCACAATTAATATCATTCTGCCTCATTTTTTTTTTTTGCCCACATGGGCCACACCTTGTGTTCTTGGCTCTGAAAGAGTTTTATGGGGAAGCTTACTGAAAAGCGTCTATTTCCTGTGTTGTCAGGACTTATGTGGGAAGGCTGGTACTTAATTACAGCAGAATGTTCCCTAAACAGCAGGATTCAGCCAAACTATCATACCCTTAGCATCTGCTACACTGAATCCAATCCTGTAAGATTAGCTGAATCAAAACAGATGTCTTAGAAGTAGGACTTTAAATGCTTGAGATGTACAGCAGAACACAGATAAAGAGCGATGGGCCAATAGCTATAATGACTTTTTCTTTTATGGAAGGTTATTTTAGGGAGAAAGTTCGATCACAGCCCTTGGTCTTGGCCCCAGCTGCCCTGTTTTGGTTTTATCCCAGGTTTTCCGAGCCCGGCCAGTAAGTGTATCACCTGAGAGTGTAATTCTGGAATCTGACAACTTTGGCTGAGTCCTGGCTCCCGACTCACCATCTCTGTGTCCTTTCAGAAGTCCCTTAACCTCCCTGGGCCTCAGTTTCTTCACATGTACGCTGAGTGTAAATGGTAACAGCACCTGTCTATCTCACGTGAAGTGCGCAGAATGGAGTGTGCACAGTCTGTGTTCCACAGCCACCAGGATCAGTTAGCCGTCATAGCACCCCCGTGTGATTCTTCCCACACCTGAGAACCATCTGAATGATTACTTAGGAGTTTACTTTAAATCAATTCATTTTACCTTAAAATTATATTTAAAAATCATTTCTATCACTGTTACACTGTCATTAGTAATTATATTTTTCTAGTACATAAAATCGATACATAGCTATTAAAGAATGTCGGTATGCACACTGCCTGGAATCAGCAGCACACTGTAGGAATCGCTGTTTACATCCAGAACATTCCTACTGACCACCTGCTCTGTGCACGTGTAATGCTGGGAGCTGGAAGGGGACGCATGTCCCCCTTGTTGGACAAGTGTTAAGTGTGCACGAGCACCAGCTAGAAATTCCCCACTACTCCCCTAAAGAAGAGCTCTGCGGTGACCAGCTAGCATATCTGAGCTGGTCCTTGAAGGATGCAGCAGCTCACAGGGACCGCCAGAAGCAGTAACCATGCAAGTGAAACCTCCTGAAGGGGAGCAAACTTAGAAACCAGAACTTATACCACAGTTCAAATTTCCAACACTTCTGCCTAAGAAAAGGAAGTGTGACTTGTGGCAAGGTCACCTGGCAGAGCGCTGCAGCCATCCTCCAGGTATCCCCTGGTATCAGTTCTGGCCAGCCCAGGCTTCTTTTGGGAAACAGAACAAAAGTGTCCAAGCCTAACAACAGGGAAGGAAATGCTTACCTTCTCTGCACGATCTTCGGAAGGTCAAGGTAGAATCAATTTCATTCTTAATCTTGATTAAAGCATCCAACACCATAGGACCACAGCTGACCAAAAAAAAAAAAAAAAAAGAAAAAAACTCACAAAAATAAAAGACCCAGTTGTACTTATGTGAAGTTCAATCTCCCTACACTTTATCAAAATATGATCTGAGACAGCTGCAGATATTAGCTGCTCTTCTTATCCATGGCCTTCTCAGGTCACATTCAGAATTTTTTCCATAGTTTTATTTTTGCACATTCTTACACATTTTAAGTACGGCAGAATTCTTACACATTTTAAGTGCCACACTGCAAATACATTTCTAGGAAATGGAAAGCTAAAGAAGAAGAGAAATATTTAGGTTAGGAGACAACTTCCATATACTGGCAGTTTTTATTTTTTCTTCTAAAGCTCACTGAAAAGTTTTCCAAAATAATTTATTTCAAATTTTAGTTTTATTTTTTTGGACAAAAATAGTAAGTAGCTTTATATGGTTAGTTAACAGCTTCCTATCTACAAAGCACAGAGAGCAACGCCCACATCTCACAGGACTGCTGCAGGTGAATTAACATACAGGAAAATGAAACACTCAGAGCAGTGTCTGCCACATACATTTGGTCTCACTATGATTATCATCATGCAGAGACTGTGACTCTATGGAAATGGCTTGTTCTCTCTGAGCCTCAGTCTCTTTATCTGTAAAATGGAATTATTATTTGTATCACAGGATTATTATGAAGATGAAATAAAAACATACAACAACAAGGTCCTCCTGTATAGCACAGTGAACTATATTCAATATCCTGTGATAAACTATAATGAAAAAGAATATGAAAAAGAATACATGTATGTTTAACAGAATATATGTATGTATAACTGAGTCACTTTGCTGTACAGAAATTAACACAACACTGTAAATCAACTATACTTCAATAAAATTAAAAAACAAAACAAAATGTGCAATTGTTATAGCACCTGGCACAGAGAAGCGCTCAGCAAATCTACTTCCTGGTTGCCACTGCTACCTGCGCTCCTCTCAGTAATTTTCTATGAATGGGATTTAAAAAAATATGCGACCCCACCCCAATTTCCTTTCTTTGTCTCTATTTCTTTTTTCCCCTCAGCTTTGAGATTAGTGACAAATAATAGTGTGTAAATTTAAAGTGTATAACATGGTAATTTGATATATAGTGAAATGATTACCATAATAAGGTTGGTTAACATACCTGCATTATCTGTACGTATTTCTACCAACAATATGCTATACCTTTTTCACTGTACCTCTGCTAACACTGGGAATTGTAACCTTTAAAAACCTCTGCTATTCTGCGAACGGAGAAGTTATTACTGTCAGTGTTTTAATTTGAGATCTCTGAATACTACAGTGGTTGAATATTTGTCATAAATTCACTGAGCTTTCCTCACTTACCAATTATTTACTGAAAGCCTGCTCTGTACCAGGTTCTGTTCTAGGTGCTAGAGATACACCAGAGGACAAAACAGATGCAAATTCCTGCCCGCACAGAGCGTTCATTCTAGTGGACTAATTCTATAGACTCAGTCTGTCCATGTTCTTTGCCTCTTTGTTTACTGAAGTCTGGGGATTTTTTTTTTTTTTTTTCTTTTAAAGATCTGAGCCTACCATCTTCTAAAACAAAAACTCTTCTGTTTTTCTGTACTACTAACTCCCAATACTTCACTTCTGGTCACCAAATGTGTGGGTGTCTTTCCCATGCCAAGCAATTCTGCAACACCAAGTGGGTGTCCCACAGTGTAACTCAATTCTGCCACTATCAATCGGAGTGGCTCACAGAATTAAAAAAAAAAGTTTACTGACTAGATTACTGGTTTATTATAAAAGGATCAACCCTGCAACAGCCAAATGGAAGAGACACACAGGGCAAGGTATGTGGGAAGGGGAGGAGAGCTTCCATACCCTCTCCTGCAGGCCACTCTCCCAGCACCTCCTGGAGTTTACCAACCCAAGCTCTCTGAACCGTGTACTTCAAGGATTTTTATGAAGGCTTAATTACGTAGGGATGATTGACTATACCATTGGTCTCTGGTAACTGATTCAACTTCTACCCCCTCTCCCCTCCTGGGAGGTCAGGGGATGGGGCTGAAAGTTCCAGCCCTCTAATCACATGGTTGGATTCCCTAGCAACCAGCCCCCATCCAGTGGTTATCTAGGGGCTTTTTAAGAAATCATCGCATTAATATAAACTCAGGTGTGGTTGAAAGGGGCTTGTTATGAATAACAAAAGATACCCATTTCACCTTTATTATTTTCTGAAGCTATTTCAGGAACTGGGAACGAAAACAAAATATAACGAAAGATGACCCTATAGTTCTTATTCTTTAGGATTACAAGGGTTTTAGAAGACAGAACAAGACCAAATATATACCACAGCATCACACATCTAATACATCTGTTGCTAATCTTGCTCCCGCCCTCAACCAGCAAGTGGCTATCTGACTTCTGATTTTGGTAATCAAAATTTTTTTTTCACTTTTTTTTTTAAAGGCCGCTCCACGCAGCATGTGGGATCCTAGTTCCCCGACCAGGGATCAAACCCGCGCTGCCTGCACTGGCAGCGCAGAGTCTTAACCACTGGCCCCCCAGGGAAACCCCCAGTAATCAAAATTTTCAAACACACATAAAATTTAAATGTTTACATTGTTAAAAGCTGACCACTTTTCCCCTTATGATAGTATCCTCTTTTAAGTCTAAAAGACCACACTCCTTCCTGAGGTTTGATGAATATTTTGAATTTTCTTCCATTTTAAAATTATTTCCCCCAAGTTGCAAAAATTGCTAATCAACTGCCCCAAATCACTGACTGACTAAACCCTCTTTTGCTTCTGATTTGTGATGCTCCCCCTCGAACCGCCCCATTCTACACTAGAATTTTATATATAATGTAGTCTATTTTGGAACTCTTTTTTTTTTTCTTTTTTTTGGCCACGCCACGTGGCTTGCAGAATCTTTAGGGGGAAAATCCCCTGACCAGGGATTGAACATGGGCCCTCGACAGTGAAATCATGGAGTCCTAACCACTGGACTGGCAGGGAATTCCCTAGAACTTTTTTTATTCTAATGATCTGTCTATTCTTGTCCTGGCATGTTTTAAATTATGTACATCAATTCTATTTAGTCGTTTTCTTTAAGTTACAAAAGTTAGTATTTGCATTTTATAAAAATTTCAAATATAAATAGCTAAAAAGCTAAAGCTCTTCCCTTAACCTGTCTCATGCTAAATTTCATAATAGGTAGGCAATATTAAGAGTTTGGTATAAATTTTCTCAGACTTAAAAAAATGCAATATATATATGATAGTATCTTGCTTTTTTCATTCAAAACAAGTCGGCCAAGGGACTGTAATTACGTAACCATTTTCCTATGGAAGAACCATTTTCCTATGGAAGAACCATTTTCCTATGGAAGAACACTTAAAATCCTTCCCTGTTACACACAATGCTGCAAATAACATTTTGGTACATAGAAATCGCTTGTTCTGGCTATTCTTTGTCCCTTGCATTTCCATATGAATTTTAGGATCAGCTCGTCAATTTCTGCAAAAAAAGGCTGCTGGGGTTTGAGAGTGATTACAGTGAATCTGTATATAAACTTGGGGGTGCACTGCCACCTTAAAAATATTAAGTCTTCCAACCCAGAAACATGAAATATCTTTCCATTTATTTAGGTCTTTGTTAGTTTCTTTCAACAATGTTCTATAGTTTTCAGTCTTGCATTCCTTTTGCCAAGCTTGTTCCTAGTATTTTATTCTTTTTGATGTTACTGTAAATGGAATCATTTTCTTATTTTAGGATTGTTCATTGCTGGTGTACAGAAATACAATTGATTTTTATATACTTATCTTGTATCCTACAACTTTGCTGAACTAATTTATTGATTCTAATAATTTTTTGGTGTGAATTTGTTAAGATTTTCTATATACAAGGTCATGTGATCTGTGAAAAGAAAGAGTTTCCTTCTTACTTTCCAATTTCCTTTTCTTCCTTTTTGTTGCCTAATTTCCCTGGTTAAAACCTTAAAATTCTGAATGGTTGATGCTAGTATAAAAAAATTATTTTTGCATATTGACCTTGTATCCTGCAACCTTGCTAAATTTACTTAGTATGTTCCTGTAGTTTTGTAGATTCCTTGGATCCTTGGAATTTTATATGTAAACAATCAAGTTATTTGTGACTACAGACAATTTAATTCCCTCCTTTTCGATCTTCATGTCTTTTCTTTCATTTGCCTTTAATGCACTAGTTAGAATGTACAGTAAAATGCTGAATAGAAGTGGAGAGTGGACATCTTTGTTTTGTTCCAGGTCTTATGGATAAAGCATTCAATATTTCACAATCAAGCATGTTGTTAGCTGTAGCTTTTTCCATACATACTCTTTTTTTTAAAAAAAAGATTCATTTTTATTTATTTATTTACCTGTCTATCTGTCTATCTTGGCTGTGCCGGGTCTTAGCTGCGGCATGCATGCAGGATCTAGTTCCTTGGCCAGGGATTGAACCCAGGTCCCCTGCATTGGGAGCGTGGAGTCTTACCCACTGGACCTCCAGGGAAGTCCCTACATACTCTTTATCTGGTTGAGGAAGTCTCCTTCTTTTTCAAATTTGCAGAGTTATGGCTTTTCTCCTTTATCCTTTATATGATGAATTACAATGATTGATTTTCCAGTGTTAAGCCAACTTCATATTCCTGAGATAAACTGAAACTTGGTCATTAAGGCATTATCCCTTTTTATAGATTGCTAGATTTGAATTGCTAAAATTTCTTGAGGATTTTTGTGTCTATGTTCACGAACGATACCAATTTGTAATTTTCGCTTCTGTAATGTCTTTGTTAGATTTTGGTATCAGGTTATGATGGCCTCATAAAATGAACTAGGAAATGAATATTCCTTGTTTATTTTCTGAAAGAATATTTGTGTTAGGTTTTTCTTAAATGTGTGATATGATTCACCAGTGAAGCCACCTGGGCCTGGAGTTTTCCGTGTGAAAACGTTTTTGATAACACATTTAATTTCTGTAACATAGAACT